GCTAACATTTATTTCATGTTTGCAATGTACAAGATACTTGCTGAGATCCATGTGTTATACACTGTCCCATCCCATCCCAGTTATGAAGTAGCTACTCTTGTTAGACCTTGTTTTGCAGGTGAGTAAACTGAGGCTTGGCGATCATAGGGATCTTGTCCAGAGCTTCCGGACTCTGGTGGAGGTTGGATTAGAAGCAGGTAGTCAAACTCTAGAGACTGAATTCTTACCAGACTATATCAATCCTCTCAAAATGTGTGTATATGTGTGTGGAATTTTAATTTTACATGCTATTTTAGTAACATAGAAAATGTTTCTGTTATAATGTTGAGTTAAAAACAGGATATGAAACTGTGTATAACATGAGAACAACAGCTTAAAACATTTAATCCATGCATATAGAAAAGGGAAAGGAAACACAGTGATCGTATTTAGGTGGTTGGGCACTTTTTCCCTCTACATCCAATGTTCAGTACTTCATACATTTCCAACCACAGGTCACCACTAATAGACAATCAGAAGGAACTCAGTGGCTTTATATTTGCACGTCTCCAACCAGATGAACTGAGCTCTCACCTCGACACGGCCTCCAGTCTACCTGACACAAGCCTGAAAGCAGAGAAGCTGGAAGCCTCCAGCACCTGGCTTCAGGACATGGCTTAGTCTCTCATCACCCATCATCACCACCCAGGAAGCGGACTGGCAATTCTGGGATAGAGCTGTAAGCCATGAGCAATTCCACAAGCCCTGCACAAGCTGGCCTAAAAATAACCATCGTGGCACAACAACCATGCAGAGCAGGCCTGACTCAGAGCACAGACCACGAGCTTGCAATGAACCACAGCCCCACACTGCTCAGTCCACACAGCACTTGGCTCTGCATGGTGTTATGTTGGTTTGTTTGTGTTTGATTTTATTTTAAACTGAATTATCTGACAATTTCCAACTGAAAGACCCTGGAAAAAATACACCTTTCTGCCTTCTCTTAAAAAGCAAAAGATCCAGGCCACATGGCAATGGTCAGCTGGAGCAGAGTCGTAGACACCCTGCTAGACAGGACCTGGGCACCTTGCAACCATTCCCATTGCTCCCTGCTGCTGCCCAGGCACCAAAGCTGACACGTGCCTAAACTGCTGCTTTCTAACAGCAGAGTGATATGGAAAGTGAAGTATGTTTTATGTCCATGTTTCAATCAAAAGAGGAAAAATGAAATGTAGGTCAGGAGGGCTATGGGTTCAAAAAAAAATGGAAGAGGGTACATTTTCCAGGTACCTCTGCTCACTTATGTTACCTCCCCAATCCCAGTGAGTCTTCGAGTTTTCTACCCCTGGTCTAGAGGGTTCCTGAGGAACAAGCAAAAGAAAACCACATCCTTCCTCATTTTCTGGAGAGACTCCTGGCAGAAAATCCTGTCTGGTGACCCACTGCCTGCTTGCCTGCTCCATCGCCAACAGTTGATCTTGCCCAGCACCTGGAGTTGCCAAAGCCCTTTCCACAAGCATTGGAGGCGGGGAGGGTAAGGAAGAGTGGACCGCACAGAGAAGAGCTATCCAAAGCCGCAGAATTCAAACCCATCCCTGGAGCTCATGAGCTGCGCCCACTACTTGAACAATGCCATTTTGGAGACGTGCTCCCAGCCCCCTTCCCTCCCTTTATGTTTACAGCTGGTTTGTGCAAAGGCCCAGATATTACCTAAGTTGCCATAGCTTCAGCTTCTACAGAGTCCTGGGGCAGAAGCAGAAACAGCGCCAGTGGACTCTGAGTCAGGCTGCCTAGGTCTGTATCCCAGCCCCAGCTCCCACTAGGCAGCGATCTCAAGCAGGTGACGGAATCTCTCTGTGCCTCAGTCTTCCCTGTGTAAACGTCTAGGAATTGGATCGCTAGGAAGATTAAACACACACTAAGATCGTCGCACAGTGTCTGGCCCATGACAAGAACTCAGTAAATACTGGCCCCTAAGCCCCACTGCTGTGACTGTCCTGGCTTAGCCTAGATCAGAGGCCCTGGGGCACAGCTAGGGCTCTCCAGCCTTGGTTTCCATCTTCCTGCCACCCACTTGGGTTAACCACTTTGCCTTTGCACTGCCAGCTAAGCCCCCGGGACCAGGTGCTAATGACTTCAAACTTCGCAGGGCTGAGAAGGGCTTGCATGCAGGATCTCCCTTGGCCTCTCAGTAAGAGCCTTCCCTGATCTCCCAGAAGGCCAGCTTCCTGGCACACTGGGGAGGACAGAACAAACACATTTTCATTTTCTGCTGCTGCCTCAAGGGGTTTACTTAAGAATCACTTTCCTTCTGGCAACACCGATGAACTTCTGGCACCAGGGTCATGGAACTGCCTCCTTCCTGAGATGCTGTCAGTGCCTCCCACAGTGGAGAGGGACAAGGCGGGCACACAGGTCCCCACATTCTCCCCGCTCAGAGGACTTATCCAGGAAACAAGGCTCTCGAAGGGCCCCGACTTCCCAAATGGGCAGTTCTAGAGATTCCCAGCCCAGTTCCCATGGCCCAGGCGAGCAGGCAGGGGTGGCCCTCATGGCTGCCCTGACCAGACGCACAGTCCTAACCTCCAGCCTCTCCTTCCACCCCTCCTACCACCTGCCCCTGAGCCTGGCTGAGACGGCAGCCCACTGCCTCCCACCCACCCTGTTTTGAGTGGCCCAATTTCTGTCTGCCTGTCTGCTGGACAGGACAGAGCACCACAAGAGGGACAGGACAGAGTATTTTGTTCACCGCTGTGTCCCCAGCACCTAGCCCTGTGCCTGGCACACAGCAGGTGCATAACTATTGTGTGTTGGATACATGAACAGGGCTAACAGTCACGCCGACCTCATGCTGTTGGGGTGGATATTAGATGAGCTGATGCATGTACAGCACTTAACTCAGCACCAGGCACACCATGAGCACTGAGCAACTTTGTCAGCTACTAATGGAGGCTGCTCAGCTCCCCAGAACAAAGGCTTCTGCACTCCCAGCGTGGGGGCCTTTCTTGGGTCTGACTTTTCTCTAGCTGCTCCTATCCTTCCTCCATCTCCAGAGGCTTCTAGTCTGGACTCAGGACCCCTGTGGCTCAGGCCATGGCCTGCCAAGTCAGCCACTGTTCTAGCACCGCCTGCAGGGAAGGTGGGGGTGGATGAGGGCAGGACAGAAGATGGAACCAAACACTGCCAGGAAAGCTCAATAATTAACATGCCTCCAAATGTCGCAGGCACCTCTTGAGAAACATCTCCCTTGGTGTCCAGGCTGGCTGCGGGCCCCCTCACACACTCACATGCACGCTGCCGTCTACTTCCTCCCCTGCCACAGACAAGGCGCCCAAGTTGTGAAGGAGGTGGGACTGCCCCCAGGAGCCAAGGGGCCTCATCACTGAGACTCTTCCAACATCTGGACTCCAAAGAGCTATAAGGCTTATGGAGAGATTTCCTCTGCACCTGAGACTAAAACAGCTTTTCTAAAGTTGACAGGAGAGCACAGAAAGCCAGCCCGGGGGCCAGGATTCCTGGATTCTAGGCCTGCTCGTGATGGCCTTCATTTCTCTACATTTTGGCTTTTGCCTCCAGGGTAGGATCAGCTTCAAACATTTCTCAGAGCTGCCATCCTTTGATCAAACCGAACCGTACGAAGACATGACTCAGCATGTCAGGGAGACAGAGGTGGGGATCCCCCTGCCCTGTGGCCCCCCAGGCCGCCCCATGGGTTGTGCTCTGTGACCCCCTGGGTGATCCAACCTGCTCGTTGTCCTGCATCTCCCTGCATGCTGACAGTGACCATGGGCCTGGGGGCGCTGAGTATCCAGCTGGTATGACTCATGTTCTTGGGGCAGCCGTGCCCCAGGCTGTCCATGTACCCCAGTGAGGAGCACCAGCATGGAGGATGCTCGGAGGATGTGTAGTCCTGGCCTGGGCACCTCCCTGGTCGGGCAGGGAGTGCAGGCTGAGTAGAGGCACCCAGGTTGGGGGTATGAGAGGCGCTGGGCCCTGATGCTCCTGAGCTGTGGGGCACAGCTGAGTCCCAGCCTCTAGGGCAGAGGGCTTATATGGAGGCCATTTGGAAGGCCACCAGGGAGAGGGGTCCTATCCACAAGAGCTGTCAGGTATATATCTGAGGTGACGGGAAGGACCATGGATCCAGTCCTTCCATTATACAGAAAAGGAGACTGAGGCCTGGGAAGGGACAGTATCTTCCCTAAGGAGACACAGTAAAATGAGAGCCAAGAACCAAACCCCAAGTTATTGCAATTTGTCTTCTAAGACCCCCAGCTCATCCTTCCTCTAGAGCTGACAGCTTTAACTCTGTACAGCAAGTGCCTTCCAGTTCTTTCAATCCTCTTTTATCAAAACGGCTCCCAGGAGAAGAGGCAGCAACCTCTTTCCCAGTAGGGAGAAGAGAACATCTGCAGCTGGGGTGCAGGACTAGCTTCATGGCACACAAGAAATGAAGTTCTAATGGAATGTCAGGGGCAAGAAGGGAGTGGCCTGCTTCATGGCCCTGCAGCTGGTCCTGCACAGGGCCTCCCTGGCTGCCTCCCCTGGCATGTGGGGCAGGTGTGGGCCTGAGACCCGGCAGTCACAGAGGGTCCATCACCTGACTTAATGCTCTGCTGTTGTCCTTCTTAAATTCTTACTAATTTTTGAACAGGGGAGTCTGCATTTTCAATTTGCATGGAGGGCTGCAAATTACATAGCTGGCCCTCACTAGCCAGTCATTAACTGTGTATCCTTAAATAAGTACCTTAACTTTGGGAAGCCTCAGTTTTCTCATCTGTAAAATGGAAACAATCACAACACCTGCCTCACAGGATTGTGCATGAAGAGAACATGTGCAGAGCTTGATGCAAGTGCCTGGCGCATAGTAAATCCTTAATCGATGGGAGTTACCCTATAGATAAAATAATATGACAGAGATGCCCTAGTCCATAAAAAGGATGTTAAGTGTATCCCAGATCGACAAACCAAGAAAGGGTCACAGGTGCCCTGACACCAGGCTCCCTCCCCTGGCCTCTTACCTTCCTGAAACGGCTGTGTCTGCATCTGCAGCCGGATCTTGATGAGGTCCACGGGTGCTCCCAGCCCAACAGAGACCACACCAGCCACCATGCTGGCCAGGAGCAGGTCAGACAGCACATGGTGCGGACCAGCCTCGGGCTCTTGGCACCGATGGTGGCTGAGGAACCTCTGTGTGTTGCTGAAGACCCCGAACACCACTGAGTTGTAGACAGCGATGCTGGCAAGGGGGAAGGACATGCCCTTGAAGAAGCCGAACACCTGTGGGGAGACCCGGGGGAGGAAGCCTGAGGGCCCGGGCTGCCCTTGGCAGAGACCCTGCCCTCTTGGAGCCCTCAGGCTGGTGGGGGAGATACCACAGGAAAAGTCAACCAGTACATCGGCGGAGAAAAATGAAAGAGGATGATGATGTGAGAGGAGAAACAGGGGAGGGTGAGAGCACCCTCGCCCTGAAGAGGAACTGGCTTCTGCATGGAGCTCTGCTTCCTGAGCTGCAGGATGCTGGGCCTGGAACCTGCATTTGTCACTGGAGTGGCAGTGTTCCTGGACTGAGGCCGAGGGGGAGCCCCAGTGGGTAGTGGGCTTGCCAAGCATCATACACTCCCTCCTCCTGCGCCACTCCAACAAAAGCATCCTCTGGGCACTGGCCATGTGCCAGGCCCTGGGGACAGCAAGAAAGAAACACTCTCCACCCTCACTGAGCTCACAGTTGCGCGGGGGGAGGGGGGGCGGTGGGAAGGAAACCCAGATAGACAAACTGACATGTGCTAAAATAAGCCTGTGGTGAGGAGGTACGAAGGGCTCCACAGCTCCTCAGGGCACCTGGGTCAGCATGTAGCTGGGTGCCCCTGAGCAAGAGCATCTGTTGGAAAACAGCTAGAGAGGGTGCCCCCGGAAGGGCAGCACCAAGAGGCTCCTGCACAGGTTGCAGGAGGCTGAGAGAAGCCAGGGTCCCTCCCACACTGTATTCTCAGTGAACACCACAGATGCTCCACTGAAGTGGGAAACTTCCATAGGCCCTTAGAAGAAGGAGTAAGGGCAACACAGATGACACCTAAGACAAAAAAGCACTGGGAAGCTGTGGTAAAAACTCCACGCCATGCTTAAACCCACTAATCCTGCCCTGCATGCGTGGACCCTATTTGCCAGGGGCAGGACACCACACACACACACCACACACATACCACACACACACCTGTCCACATGCACATGTGCATGCATACACACTCACATGTACACACACACCATGCTTCAGGCTCTTCTATAAGATCCCTCAGACAACCTGGGGTATCGCTTAGCCCTGAGCTGTGGTGCCTCAGAGGAATGCCCACAGTCACCACAGAAGCCTCAAAGCTGCGACGCTGGCTGGTAGACACTGCAGGGAACATGGACCAAAAAGGAGAATCAACAGCTGTCATTCAGGGGCTGGAGCAATTGCACAACATCTTGTACTGGTTTAAAGAATTTAAAGCAGATTTTAAAGCAGAAGTTAGAGGGAGGCAGAACAACAGCTAGACATAAGACATCCTTCATCACGGGAGAAACTCCAGGTGTGGGCAGGAGGCTTCCAAGCTCCAGGGCCCGGCCTAGGAAGAAGCCTGGTAGGGACAGCGGTCAACGATGGGGCCACATCTCCAAGGACTCAAGGAAAAGCTCAGGGCTGCTACGGGGCTTACCCCTGACCATTTCTTTAAATCAACAGCTCATTTCTTCCTACATTTTAAAATTTATTTTAAATTCCCCAAGGAGGAGTCTTAGAAAGCCTTCCCAAAGCATACGTTCATTCTCAAGAAGGGTACGTGATGCTTCTTGCATAAAATGATATTTAGATGTTCCTCTTTACAGGAAAAAACCCTTGGTCCATGGTTTGGAGTGACCTGCAGCACAAGCTCGCCCTGGTGTCTGGGGTCAGAAGAGCCTGGTCCCCATTCCACCCAGATAAGGGAGTCTGTGTGCATACAGTTTAACTGTCACTCATTTGGTTTTGAAAACCTGACAGATCATCTTGTTTTTGCAGGGATTTTCCCCACTGTGGCTCTAAATTCCTCAGAACTTCTCCAGGGAAGTTACACAAAACCAGCTTTTTCCCTCAATAACGTCGCACTTGGTGGGAGGGTTGAGTTTAGGTAACACATAATATTTGAGGAGTGCTGTGAGATGAACAGGGAAAACTGAGCCACAGGTAATGAGCGCTAATGAACAGGCCTCCTGCCAGGTGGACAGACAGACATGCTAGTGAGAGGGCTGCGACCTCAGTCCCCAGGAGGCCCCGGCAGGTGTGGCCCAGCTGCCCTCGCAGGGACCACTTACACTCTCCCTTCTGTACACGGTGCGGATGCAGCTGAGGGTGCTCCCGTAGCCATTGCCAGCCTGCAGGCGGGCCTGTGGAGAGAGGCAAGGGCGTGAGGGACCACGTGGAGCCAGGTCATGTCCCCACGGCCCCCAAGACACTGAGCTCCCAGAACGGAGGCCCAGAGAGGGAAAGGCCCTGCCACAAGGGAGCCAGTCAGGAAGGAGGCCTGGGCTTCCGCCCTGGCCCAGCTGACCCGCTGTCCTCTACCTACACCGCCACCCTCCATGTCCCACTCACACCTTGCTAAATGCAGCAGAAGCCCTTTTCGTCTCAGAGAAGAACAAAGGCCAGTTTGTTGTGCAAAAACAGTGCTTGTGTGGGGACATAAGATTCTGCTGCATCTTGAGTACAAAAAGCTAACCGGTGGCTCCCGTCCATCTGCGGTCCGTCACTCTGCCGTCCTCAGTACTCCTGAAGGCAGCCTGTCCTTCTCACCCCCACAGCCCCTTCATCTCTCACCTGGACGATGGGCTGGTCTCCTCACTGGCCTCCTGCTGGCCCCCCTTGCTCCTTTGCCTGTGTCTACACAACAGTCAGACTGATCATTTCCAAACAACAGTGAATGGTGTCACTGCTGTTTCAAGCTCTCCAGTGGCCTCCCATCAAACTCAGAATAAATTCCACACTTAGTCAGCACCCATTTCCTCCACACCCCTGCCCTCTGTGCCCACCACATGGCACACTCCCACTCTCCGAACCATCAGTTCTTTCCTGCCTCCAGAACGTTCCACCTACGTGGAAGGCTCTTTCTCCAGCTCATCTTTGGGGTCTGAGCTTACATGCTGCAATGATGTCATCTGTTTGTCTTTTTACTTAGGGTCTATTTGGGCTCCTGATCTGGGGCAGGGTCGTCTCGTATTTCCCTCTCATCCCCGGAGCTGAGCGTAGCCCTGGCACTTGGCCGTTTGCACTGGCTGACCAAGGGGCTGGAGGGTGAAGCTGTGGTGTCCTCTAACAGAGGCTGACTCGGGTGACCGGGGCCATCTATAGTCAGGGAGAGGGTCTGAGTAAGGCTGCAGAAGAGCCCAGGGCACCCCTCACCCCGGTCTTAATCAGAGCAAAGTTCTGTCAGCCACATCGAGCTCTTGGGGGGGCTGCAGCTGAGGCCAGCAGCACAGCTCAAGTCTCTGGGGACTCCAGTTACAATAGGATCTGGCATTTAGGGTGCACCAGCTGCATACTTGGGGAAATACTGCGCATTGTATGGAACTTATCTCATAGGTGCATGGCACAAATGCTATGAGGCCTGCACACAATTCCCATTCTACAGACAGAGAAAGCTGATTCCCTATGTGTGTTCCCTACTGCTACTGTAACAAACTATGATAAATTTAATGGCTTAGAACAATGTAAATTTATTCTCTTACAGAGCTCTAGCTGGTCTCTAGCGAGCTGAGCTTTGATTAGGAAAACCTGGTCACACTATAGCAGATATAAACCTTAAATGCAACAGCTGTGCCAGGAGCCAGGGAGCATCTGGACTCCAGCTCCACTGCCACCAAGTAGCTAGTGGCTGGCTCTCTCACCTGTGATGAGGCACCTGCAGGCAGGGAAGGAGTCTTTGACCCAGGCCAGCAGCCCAGATCCTTCTAGCTTGGCTTTTCCAGGGGTGAGGGACAAGTCACTCATCTGTTTCCCTATACCCCAGCGTGTGTGTTCATCAGGACAGGAATGACCCTCTCACGGCTCTATCCTCACTGCTACAGTGACAATCTTCATGACAGCCCCACCAGGGAGGTGTTCTTTGCCCATTTTACAGATGGGGAAACCAAGGCTCAGGGAGGTTAAGTGCTGTGCCCTAGTCACGGGAGAGTAAGTGGGAGGCTGGGACTGGACTCCAGGTTATTCTAACTCTGAGGCTTTTACCTGGACCTTTTTCAGTAAACAAGGACTCTCGAGAAAATGCCAGCCAGAAGGAAGGAAGGAAGGAAGACGTTATAGGGAGAAACAAGGGTTGGACCCATAGGCTGGTCATATAAGCCAGCATCACCAGGCTGATACCCACAGCGGGGAGGTTCTCAGGCTGAACAGAGACTAGATTTTACATATCAGGAAAGGTTCCCTAAAGAGGTTCAGGAGGCAGAGGAAAGAGAAGAAGGAGAGTCCTGCCCTTTTCAGGTGATACACGGTCAAGCACAGGGTGGCCAGGCTTACCTGTGCAAGGGGAAGGGGTGGGGATGGGGGTTCCAACAAGCTCCACCGACCCCCAACCAGGCTGTGGGTGAGGGAAGGATGCTCTACCAAGGAGGCACAAAGGCTACCTGTATCAGAAAGCTGGCTGTTAGGCCTGCAGGGGCAGGGACTGGACTTGCTTTGTCCACCACCACTGCCCTGCCATCCCCACGGCACTCAGGATGCCGTGTACAGGATGCGTATGATGTACAAGCAAAAGGCTGGGCTTATATGAGGGATGTGAAGAGCCAGGGACTACTTTCAACCATTTAAGACAAGGAGGCTGACCTCCCCATCAAGAAGACAGCAGGCCTGGGCTCTGACTGAGGAGGGGCCCATGGTCACATAGGGAGGAAGATGGGAGAGAGGAGACCACAGCAGCCATCAGAAGAGGACCTGAGAGGTGCCTCTTTGCACATGATTCTGCCAGAGCATTGATACAAATCTGGAAGTCAGGGTGAGGAGGCACTATTTGTGGTTGTGTTCTCAGGCTATACCTCTAAATGCTTCTCCTCATGGCGGGCAGATGGCAGGGAGACAGGTGGAATCAAAGAATATCCCTTTGTAACATCTCACTTCTCAATGATTTGATGTGTTGTGTGACCTGCGGCTACATCTTTCCTCTTTCTGGGCCAGTCTCTACATCTGCAGAACAAGGGGCGTGAATGATCCGAGTGCCAGATGGCTTGGCTGGCTCCATCAGGTTAGAATGGCTTCCCATTCCCAACCTAAGCCCAGAGCCCTAACCTGATAGTCAAGGCCTCCAAGGACTGAGTGCCGACCTACCTGCCTTTCCTGGATTCTGATCTGTGGCTGCTTTCAGAAACCTGATGCATCAGCAGCACTGGCCATGCTGGCCTTTCCCGAGCACGGCACCCAGGCAGTGTCTCCACCTCAGTGTCTTTGCCCGTGCTGTGCTCTGGGCCTGGAATATCGTTTCTCAACACCCAACCTTAAATTGTGGGCTCCGATACCACCTTACCCTGGAAGCCTTTCTGGTTCCTTAATTCCAGAAAGACTTACAGAACACTCACCAGTGCCCCGGCTCCCTCCCCGGCAGCTCATGAGAATCTGGAGGCAGAAATGGAACACTTACAACAACAAAATTGCTGCCAAGCAATGAGGGTAGAGCATTCCAAACCAGGCCTCCTAGCACCCCACCCCCACGGGCTGGCACAGGGACCTGGCCCTGGGCTGGAGACTTTCTGGGAATCAGAAACAGCAGGCAAGTTCCTAAAGGCAAACTCACTACAGACCCCTTTCCTGAACGTAATGGCAACATGGCTACTGTACCTTGACCGTGTCCAGAGGGTGGCCGACAATGACACTGGCTGCACCTGTGGGTCAAAGAAGAACACCTGGTTACTCAGCTCCTGGACTCCTAGCTGGCACCAGGTGGCCCTCAGGAGAGAACGAAGGGCTCAGACACTTACAGTCACTTACTTGGTCAGTGCCCAGGCACCAGAAGGGCCCCTCAGTGTGGCAGGCACTGGTCCACCCATGGCGAAGGCAAAGAAAAATTGAGTAAAACCTGGTCCTACCTCAAGAAGCAAGCACCCTAAAGAAAAGAAGTGAAGATGCTGGTATAACTGGGTCTGCACGTGCAAAAGAATAAAGTTATACCTCCACCTCATACCTACACAAAGCTTAACTCAAAATAACCCAAAGGCCTAAACAGAAGCAATAAAATGATAAAAATCATACACTAAAACACAGGGGGAAATCTCCATAACTGTAAATTTGCACTAGATTCTTAGGCATGACACCAAAAGTGCAAGCAACAAAAGAAAAATTGGGTACATTGGATGTCATGAAAATTAAAAATATTTGTGCATAAAAGAACACTCTCAAGAAAGTAAAGAAACCTAGAGAATGGGGCAAAATATTTGCAAATCATACATTTGATAAGGGTCTAGTATCCAGAATATGTAAAGAACTCCAACAACTAAAAAGAAAAAAAAATGTTAAAGGGCAAAGGAGTTGAACAGACATTTCTCTAAAGATATATAAACGGCCAACATGTACATGAAAAGATGCTCAACATCATTAGTCATTAGGGAAATGCAAGTCAAAACCACAGTGAGATTCTGCTTCACACCCACTAGGATGGCTATAATGGAAAAAAAAAGGAAAAGGAAAATAACAAGTGTCGTGAGAATGCAGAGAAACTGGAACTCTTATGAATTGCTGGTGGAAATGTAAAATGGTGCAGCTGCTGTAGGAAACAGTTTGGCTCATCACAAAGTGAAATATAGGATTACCGTATGACCCAGCAATTCCACTCCCAGAAATATACTTAAATGAACTGAAAACAGCACTCAAACAAGTATGTGGACACACGTTTGTAGCAGCACTACTCACAAAAGCCAGAAGGTAAAAACAGCCCAATGTCCATTGCTGGAAGGACGGCTAAACACAATGTGGTATATCCATACAATGGAATATCAGTAGGCCTAAGGAGGAATGAAGTACTGACACATGCCACAGTGTGGATGAACAGGGAAAACACTACGCTAGGTGAAAGGCCAGATGAAACAGGTCACACATGGTATGATTCCACTTAGATGAATTATCCACAATAGGTAAATCCACAGAGACAGACAGTGGATTAATGGTTGCCCAGGTTTGGAGGCAGGGAAATGGGAATGCCTGCTTAATGGGTCCAGGAACTTCTTTGGGCATGGAAAAAATATGTTTTGGAACCAGACAGATGGTTGCACAACATTGTGAATGTACCAAATACCACTGAACTGTACACCTCCAAATGATTAATTTTAGGGTATGTGAATTTCACCTCAAAAATGGGGGGACATGTGAAGAGATAACCCAGAAACTTTTCAGGTACTTGCAGGTTATTTAGCTTTTCTACATCTCCCTTTTAGTATGTGTAGTGGGAATAATGTTAGCATATACCTCACAGTTTCATTTGAAGAATGAAATGAGACAATAAACCTAAAGTACCAGCAGAGCCTGGCACTTACAGGATGCTCTAAAGGGGCTGCCATCACTATTGATTTTTTTTTAAGAGAACCTCTTTGAAAAGGTGATGGATACTCTTTTCACACACAAAAAATGCCCATACACATGCATAGTCACAAGGCCTGAACAATTTTGGAGGCAAGCAAGGCTGCCCTGAGGCCATGTTGCAGAAAGCAGTGACAGTGAGATTGAAACAGGAGCCATCCTTCTGAGACAAATTCCATGTCATGCTAATGAGGAAGGAAGTGCTTCTGCTAGCAGGAGTGATTTAATCATGTAAGGCAGGTAAGGGGTCCTGGAATATTAGATATTTACAGGGGCAGAGGAACCAGCTATTCCAGAACAAATATTCCCTTGGTCTAGAACCTTCAGACCCCTCTCAGTCCCTCGTCCCACAGAACTGGGCAGAGACAGAAAGATGACAGGCAGCGAGCAGCTGGAACATTCACTCTTCAGGGGAAGGAAAGAGCTCTGGTCCTCAGGCTCTGGCTACATCCTTCTCTACAGGCATCACTCAGCCCAGGGCAGCAGTCCCCAGATGCAGCCTTGGGCCAGTATCTCCCTGCACCATCATTAGCCCAATCATCTAAAAGCAGGGGATGCAAAGACAAGAAACAGGATTATCAGGTCAGGGGTTTTCTGACCTTGGGACCTTACAGACCAGTAAAATTTCAAACTGTGAAGGATGTAATGCTGAAATTTTATTATGCCAGGTCACTAAGGAAGAAAATAGCAGTAGACGAGTACAGGGGTTAACACGGCCCTAGTACCAGACTGTATGGGCTGGAATCCCATTCATGCTAGATGCATGGCCTTGGGCAAGTCACTGAATTTCTCTGTGTATCCATTTCCTCATCTGTAAAATGGAGATGTAATAATGGTAGCTACCTTGTTGGAGCTATAAAGAAATGTGCATAAACACACATGAGCCCAGATATCGTATGATTCCATTTATATAAACTGTCCATAAAAGGCTAATTTATAGAGCCAGAAAGTAGATTAGTGGTTGCCCAGAGGGAGAGGACACGGTTTAACTGCAAATGGGCACGAGGGATCTTATTGGGGGATAAAATGTTCTAAAATTAATTTATGCTAATGGTTGCACCACTTGCTAAAATTGTTAAAAATCATGAAATTGTATATTTGAAATACGTGTATTTTATGATATCCTGATAAAATAACCTCAATAAAATTGTTCTAAATATATATATATATATATGTATATATATATATATATATATATATATATATATATATATATATATATATATATATATAGTAGAGAGAGATATATATATATATATATATATATATATATATATATATATATATATATATATATATATATATATATATATATGGAGAGAGAGAGAGCACACTTAAACAGCATCTGGTACCTACCAAGTATTCACTATTATTACACTTATCTTCATGGAAGCAAAAATAAAAACAAACCAACAAGCCTATTTTGTCTGATATAAGTATTGCTACTCCCACTTTCTTGTCATTTCCGTTTGAATGAAATATCTTTTTCCATCCTCTCACTTTCAATCTATGTGTGTTCTTCACTCTAAAGTGAGTCTCTCGTAGGCAGCTTATTGTAGGCAGCATATTGTAGGCAGCATATTGTAGGCTTTTGTTTTATTATCCAATCTGCCACTCTCTGTCTTTTGATTGGAGCATTTAGTCCATTGACATTTATAGTAATTATCGATAGATGTGTGTTTATTGTCGTTTTGAACTTTGTTTTCCAATTGATTTGGAATTTCTTCTTTGTTCCTTTCTTTTTCTTTTTCTTTTTTTTCTTTTTGTGGTTTGATAATTTTCTTTTGTATTAACCAGGTTTCTTTTTGGTTTTTGTGACTCTATTGTATGCAAAAGGTTTGTGATTACCCTGTTTTTCAAGTATGTTAACCCATTACTATATCTGTTTGCTTTAGACTGGTAGTCATGTAGGCTCAGACACATCTTAAAAAGAACAAAGAAAAACCCACAAAAACTGAAACAAACCAACAAAACCATGTTAACATCAACAACGTAAGGACAATCTCAAAATACAGAACCATCTACTCCTTGCTGTGTGAGTTGGGGAGGGTCTCTGTGTCAGAGGCTGAGCTACTCTGATAGCCTTACCCTCCAGAACATTCCTCAAACCAAGCCCCTGGCAGCCCTACTGAAGTTGGTCTGACTATTTAAGTAGCAGGTGAGGAAAGGTTCTCCCTTCAAACTAAAAGGTTGTCCAAAGAGGGCCTGGCCCGGTGGGCCTCTGGGTGCAGCCCCATGGCTGGCAAAGTTAGGAGAGACAGGTCTCAGCCCTACCCAAGGGAGCCAGTGCGACAGAACTGACCCCAGTGAAGGGAATCCTATCTGCTCAGGATGGTGAGCCACCTGTAGAGGACAGACATGGACTCCAACTAGGTAGGAAGGGGCCAGCAGAAGAGAAAGGACCTGAGACCCTAGCTGTCTGGTTGCTCTTTTTGTTTTTTTCCTTTCTTACAACCTCCCTGGTCTCCTTCATACCTAGAACCTGGGGTGGGACACAAACACATTAGCCATAGCCTCTGCCTCAGCACCTCAGTATTTTGTCTTTGGGAGGGGGCTGCTTTCGCCAACATCCCTTTTCTGATGAACCCCTTAGATGGGACCAAAAGAAAGGTTACATTTTACAAGCAAAGTCTCTCACGCCGCCCCCTCCCCTCACCCCACAATAGCTGAGCAAAGAGGAGGGATAGACCCATTGGAAAGAGAAGACTGGAAAAGCAAGGAAATGAATGTGACTCTTGCCCATGCAAACTCAATCCAAGCCCAATAGAGACTGACACCAAGAGCGGTAGGAAGGTGCCAGGGGGCCCAATTGTGCCTGGAGAAGAGGCCTGACAGCTGACAGCAGCTAAAAATGTGAGGGGTTCCTCTTATCTGCAGGTGGGCACCTGCAGTCGGTGCTGGGCCCCCAGCTGTGGGCTCCGCTCCCCTCAGTCAGGATGCCCCTAGAGCCAAGCTCTGCATTCCGTGCTGCTAAGCACATGCTCTCACACCCGAGTTGCTGCAAGCAGAGCCGGTTTCCCCAACTCGGATGCGCACCAGGTTGCTGAAGGGTGTGTCCGCGCCAGGACGCTCCATTGGCTATCGGCTTTGACGCGGTTTAATCATTACCGGATCAAGACTCGCGGATCCAAACTTTTAGGCAAATCACAAGCTCATGATGGAGCGGCAAGACCAGCCCCGTGGCTGGCGGCGCGCATTCGGGGCGCGTGTGGGCAGCACTGGGGAGCGGAGCTCACTGACCCAGAACGGAGTGTCAGCGTGGCCCACGCAGCGCCTGGTCGGCTGTCTCTCTTCCTCTAGGGCCTGGGCTGTCCCGTCAGCACACTCACCTCCAGGGGTCCCTCCCGTCCGGGGGTGCGCTCACCTCCGATCCAACCCGCCACAAAGTCTTCCAGCTGGAAGTTGCCCATGGCCCGGGCCGCGGCGCCTCGCGCTCCTGGAGCCGGATTGGTGCCCATTCAGAGTCTGCAGGGCATGACCAGCGGGCGAGCGCACCGGACAGGCTAAGTCGGGGACGCAGAGCCCCGCGCAGGTCCTCCTCCACTGCACACCCGCCTCCAAATCGCCTGTAGCACGGGCAGCCAGGCTCCTGCTTACAACAATGCCCGCGGGCTGTTGACATCACGCCCCCAGTGGACCTTAAAGGCACAGCGCACGGTCCGGGCGAGGGAGTGTCTGCCTGCTGTTGTTCACATCTCCTCACATCTTGGAGACACTGGAAATGATCTCAGGGGCATTTTTGCAAAGTTCATGAAAAGAGGTAACACAGGAGGCTTTATCCGAGCTCAGGAATTATTTGATTACAAACACCAAGGCCTATCTGTGACAGAATTGCTTAGCTGGTATGACATATCCTCTTTTAAGCTAAAACAGACCTGAAATCATTGTAACTGAATGTCCAGCTAGCAGATAAACCACAAGTTCTTAATTTCTTTAGGAGCTGATTGAAAGCCATGGACAGCTTTGCTATAAAATACGCAGGACACACAATTTTTCATGATAGCTTTAGAGATCGGGGCTCTTCCCCTACCCCACCCTCCAAACCTCTCTCTAGCCCCCATGTTTCAGAAGCTTATCTATTCCTGAATCACTGAAAGAATGTGTGGAAAACATCTAGCAGAGGGGTAGGCTCCAAGTCAGCTCTAAACGAACACGAGCTTTTAACAATGTCCAACGTTTCTTGAGCTCTGAAATCCTGCCCCACTCACTCACCATACCTGGGCTTACTCCTCACAACAGCCCTGTGAGATAGCTGTTACTATTATTCCCATTCCTAGATGAGAAAAATGATTGTATATCCACATAGATTTTCATCACATAGATTTTAATTTTCTAGAAAACTGGCCCAAAAATTAGGAGATGAAAGTTGTCACACCTCAGTTATAGGTTTAGCTGTGCGAGGACAGATTTGAGCTTATTCCCAAAGACCTGGCTGCCCCAGTAGAGAGCCCAGGGGAGACCCCACCCAGAATTGAAGGTCCCACAGTACCCCCTACTGACAGCACACATATCCCTGCTGAAGGCAGCCTGGCCAGGTGAAAATTTCCAGAGCCCTGAAAACTCTCAGCTTGCCCCTGGCCAGGGGTGAAGCTAGACTGGAAATTTCCTGAGAGCTGCCTGGGCATGAGGTCTGGGTGGCCAGGTAGCACATTGTGCCTCTGGAATTGCCTGCCTTGTAGCTCCCAGAAGCCACTGATGCCTCACCCATAGCACCCCATGGCCCTCTGGGACAGCCCCCACCCCCTGCCGGCAAGCAGGCCCAAAACCCAGCTCAGCCACCTTGGCTGAGACACTACCACTTCCTAACGCACATCCCTCTGTCTTTACCCGCTCACTCCAGACAAGCACATGGATGCCAGAGCTGCCTCGCCCTGAGGGTATTTTGAAGCCAGAGTCTGTGCTGAGTGCTTTGCACGCAGTCTCACTTCCTCCTCACAGCAGCATGAGCAGGCACTGTGTCACCCCAGTGGGTGCTCACGTCTCCCTGGGACTGTGCTGATCCCCATCTTCCCCATCCCTCCCCCAGGCAGTGATGCTAACTGCTACCCCAGCCATGTCCCCCTCAGTGCCCTGGGCCCAGAGCAAGCCAGACCTGGAGGGCCAGGGTCATGTCTAACTCTACAGGGGCCCAGCTCCCTCCAGGCTCAGGCTCAGCCTACACTGTCCAGCCTGGGCTGCCCTGGGAGGCAGAGGGGTGGTCGTCTTCCCCTCAAACTCCCCCTCTTTAGGCAGGCCCTGCACCAGCCAGGCCCCAGCTGGAGGTCCATGCTCACTGGGGGATGTGGCCTGGCCTTTTGGTCTAGTGAGATCTCCCCGGCCTCCATCCAAGAAGGAAGAGGATTGCTGTCCCCCAGTGTCCTGCTAGTTTCCAGCAGGAAGCCGGCCTCAGCACTCGGGATGGCAGGAAATGGTGAGGGGTAACGTCCAGAGGAAGGGGCTTCTGTTGGGCCCCCTCTGCTCCCGCTGGCACATCTGTGTCACATCATTCAGGTCATCCTGCTGTGGAAGCTGCCCAGGGCTCCTTCTTTCACAGAAAGACAGATCTGACCACTGAAGCCTGATCCTAAAAAGGGCTGAGAGGAGTGGGGACTACCAGCAGCCTGGCCCCCCAGGCTGTGCCATGCCGTGCCTGGGACATGTGCCAGGACAGTTACAAGAAATGGAAGGTCTCCAGAGACTGGCCATTTTGTGGACTCACCTTGGAGCCTGTCCACAGGTGGAGAGCAAGCCAGCTCCCCGAGGCCCCCTTTTGTGGGACCACCCAGTGGGTGCCGGGCAGATGCTCACTCCCTCAGTCCCGTGTCAGCACCAATTAGCAAGGCCCTGAGTTGGCAGGCAGACACCCTGGAGCCCCGGCACAGCCTTCTAAGCCCAGAAAGCGGCTGCCTGAACTGCTAATGAGCTGCACCAGAGCAGAGGGTGTGGGCTCCTTTCCAGAAGGAAGCTCTGTGCTCCACTCCCAAATGTGGACCACAAATCTGCCCCTGAAGCATATCACCGAGGTAGGCAGTGGGAGTCCCTGGGTCTTCTGGCAGCCAAGGGCCCGGCCCAGAGGATACTAGACCACCGCACTGTGGGACCCATCAGAATGCTGCCTCTGGGGAGGGGATCTGGGCTGCTACTTGTTCCTGGCTTCCCTGCTTTGGAGCCGATTTGTAACGCTGACATGCACATTTGTATTCCATACTCTGGAGAGAGCAGGGAAAGCAACTGAGGTACAGAGAGATCAACTCCTTGGGTCACTAGGGCCAGAAAGAAACCCCATTTCCTTTCTTCCTCAGCTCCATCCTAAAAGGTCACCCCTAGAGCATCCTCCACCACAGTGGGGATATGCCACTGTCAGAGAGGAGACCGTTTGCCTGAGATGCCACATGGACGCAGCTGTGAGAGCCCTGGAGGGGTTCGTGTGCCAGGCAGCAGTCAGGGAAGGCTCCCAGGGCTGGAGCCTCCTGGCTACACACCTGAGTCTGTCTAGCCCCATGGCTTCACCTCCTCCACACTCTCTCAGCCAAGTGCAGGGTCCCTACCTGCACCCACCTGCTGAGCCTGAGCAGCAAAGGCCTGGGCCAGCTGCTCCTACCCCACACCCCGTGGCAGAGACTCGGCCCTGCCTCCTGCTCTCTTCTCTCTTCTGGGTGGCTGCCCTCACCCGGCGGCATTTCTCCCTGTCTCTGCTGCTCTCTCAATCTGCATTCTCATCTCCTATCTCCTTCTTCCATGTGGGGCTCCTCAGGGCCCTCATCTGGACCCTCTCCCAGCCATGCCCATCATCTCTCAGCCCACAACCCCCACACCACGTCTCCAATCCATCTCTGCTCTATGCATCACCTCTACTTGGAGAGCCTCAGGCCATCTCTAACTCAGCACGGGCCTTGATGAACACTAACTTTCCAAAGTGTGCTTCCTTCAGTGTCCCAACCCAGCAAGCCACCCAAACCAGACCCTGGATGTCATCCTCTATACATCTCTTCCCCAAGGCCTCCTCCCATCAGCCACGAAGTCCTGAGGGTCTGTCTCCTCCATGGCCCTGACAAACAGCCCTCCAAACAGTCTTCAGATGAGGCTCAGCCCACGCCTGCACCTCTGCCCCTGGGACCCTCTGCCCTAGTCCCCTGTCCCTCCAGCTGCTGCCACAGTGAGCTTCTGAGACCTTGAATCTGCTCCAGCCTCCTCTGTTGAGTGGCCTCCCCATGGCCTTGACCATAATTCTACTTCCCCAGCTTGGCCTGTGAGTGTCTGTGGGCCTGGGTCTGGCTGCCTTTCCACTTCTTACCTCCTACTACCCCAGCCCTCCCCTCAGGCTGGAGCCCCAACAGGGTGGTGTGTCCTCCACACCCCACACGCTTTCCACTGTGTGACTGCCCACGTGTTCCCTTGTGGGGAACACCCCCTCCCCCACTTCTCCTCTAGCTGACCCCTGCACCAGCCTCAGGCTGTAGGAGCTCTGGGGTCCCTTCCTTGACTCTGATGAGTAATTTTCCAAGGCTATTAGAGTTTCTCATTTGGGGCGGGATTCCTTCCTTTACTGACAGTTCTTTGAGAAAGTCTATTCAGAGCTTGTTCTGACTGTATTTGGGTCATTGCCTATTCAATTTGACCTTCCAAGTCAAGAAACAGAGGCAAATGGCTGTGAAGTGAGGAGGCAAAGCAGCCTCGGGGAGACGGGGCTGCCTGGGCTCTGCTTCTGGTGCTGCTGCTAACTGGGCACTTTGGGCAAGTCCATGTCTCAATCCCTCCTACACCCTGCCTTCTGTAGAGTAGGAGTGAGTCCCCTCTTAGTCAATGTCCAGAGAAGTCTGAAATTCTAGGCCAGGGAGACAGATGCTGTGGGTGTCTTGTTGAGATACGCCAGGAGAGGGCGCTGCAGCACAGCACTTCGAGCTCTCAGGAGGAAAGAGCAGCCTGGCTGCCCCAGAGCGAGGTTCCTGGCCCAGGTTCCTGACCCTGGGCTAGCAGAGTCAGAGCCAGCACACACTTGGGGAATGAAAGAGATGCTGACACGAGAGGCTTCGAAGGAGTCTGAGGGGCTTGATGAGGACCCATTTGAGGCGTCTTCAGAGCTGACTGTGTATTTGGAGGGAGAGCACCCCAGTAAGGGGAGGTAACACCACATCTTTTCACCTGCTTTGTTTCATCAAGGCCTCACATGTACCAGATTCTTTTTCACTTCAGGGCTCCAGGCTCACCCAGTGCTATATGCTCTACCTACACCATCACATCGAATTCTGTAAGGCAATTCCCCATTTTCCCTGAGAGGAGAATGAAGCTCAGGTTGGGTGAGCAATTTCTCCAAAACCACACAGCCTGTGAGTGAAGGATTATGGATTCACACCTGCCGTTTGACCCCAGGACCCAGCTCTTAACAAGGTGATACCTCCTGGCCAAGCCTCAGAATTGGAGGTGACTTTCCCCAAAGCCAAGGCCCTACCCCTGCCCTGGCCCCACTGCATGGGTATCCTAAGTTCCCTGACTCAGTTTCTCCACCAGCAGTGAGATGGTATTAACATTTGCAACTATGCTCACATTCTTAGGGCCGCAGAGGTCTCAGTCATCAAGGGGAGGAGCCC